TTATTTTAAATGAAAAAAGAAAAGATGTGAATCTGAAATAATGCGCATCTAATATTTTCTTTTAATTTAAAAAAATCACATAAAAGAAGTTGTAAATCAATTATAAATCTTTATAAATAAATTATTGTTCTTTAATTAATTAAAATTTATAAAAAATCAAGTTCATTTATATATCTTTGAAATTAAATTCATTTTTTTAAAAATTTTAATTAGTATCTTTAAAACCGTATTTCAATGAAATTATTCAATCAACAATCAACTACTTCCAATACTACATCAATTAGGAATCTCGGTGATATAACCAGAGAATGCTTGTTAGCACTAAACAACATTGGAATTGAAGCAGAAACTATGATGCTTTTTTACTAAATTTTTTGATTTTTTGCTTTCTAGGTTATGTTTAACTCATTGGTGATGAAATTGTTTACGTTAACTTGAGTAACGTGTTGTTAACTTAAATTTATATCCATGATCTAGTAACTTTATAGAAATCCATTGATGATATTCAAAATTTCACGTGATGATGAAATATTGATGCTTTTTTACTAAGATTTTTTTAATTTTTTTCTTTCTAGGTTATGTTTGACTCTTTTCTTTGTTTCTTTATTTCAATTGAGTAACATACTGAAGTTGGTTGTGTACACTCCAACGACAGCATGAAGACGCTTCCAAATTTTTGTGAAATCGTTATTTCTTGATGTTAGCTGCCACTTACACGTTTTGTTGACTTCCATTGTACATTTCCAACAGCATCGATGTCTCTGACATTGAAGTCGACAATCATTTGGTTACACGTTCGGATACGAGGTTCACTTATGAACCGGAATCCAAAATTGCTCAGAATTTCGCTATATTCTCATTGGCTGCGTTCATTTTTACTCTAGCTGTTGCTAGTAAGACATAATCTTTACGAGGTAATGAACGATACGTTCGTTGCTGATGTCACAGCTGCGTTGGATGTGAGCTTAGCTGTTGACCAAGAGGCATTCCGTTGAACTTGAGATTTAAGAGATGCTCCAGCATTTGTTTTTGGTGCAGGGGATGATTTAGCGCTTGAGTCCAGATGTAACAATGTGTTGTGCCTTTTGCTGCGCTTTCTGCAAGAACTTGAAGCACAACTTCTGGTTGAATGGTCCCGATTAAAACAAACGAAGCATAATTTTTGTGATTGTATATACGTCCATCTCTCTGTTTCTGATAATTGGAGGAATGTGATGTGGTCATATAAAGCATGACTTCCAATATTGTAAAACCCGCATTTATCTACTTTTGTTTCAGTATCAATGCTGGGTGTGTTTAGGTCGCTTCACAGTTAAACTTCCGTCCTTTTGATTCTTTGGATTTAAACGTTGATTGTTTAAGGACACTCTCATTAGAGCACAATACATCAACTTTATAAAGTCGTATGAGCAAATGGGGCATATGGTGCAAGTTAAGATCATCTCTGTCATTAGTCCCCATCAGATTATCTCACACTATTGTGTGCTAAAAGTAGATAGCACAACGACAAAATTGCATGTAGTCTTTGATGCACTATACAAAACATCGTCCGGTTATTCGCCGAGTGATTTAATTTATATCAGTCCAAACTGAACTGTTTTCGATATCCGTCCGCTTCTGTTTACCCAAACACCTTCACCGCTGATATTGAGATGTATTGACAAGTGCTGTTGTATCCAAACAATCGAAAATATCACCTGATTTTGGGGAGAACAGATGCGTCACGTCCCGTAAAATGTTATCTTCTCAATATAGTTGCATATGAAAAACGCGTTGCACCATACCTCGCTTGCAAGAAATTGTAATTAGAAACGAAACTAATGATCTATTGGGCGCTTAAGTCCTTAAAAATAATTTTCTACGTAGATGATGGTCTAGTGGGATCAAATAATCTGTGGTTCTTAAGACCACACCTTTAGTGAAGCAAAGAATGTTGGCCTACATAACGGTTACCACAGTTACAAATTTCTACAGCTTTTGAGAGGAAGAAAAATGCAACTATGACGTTAGCAACCACAAATAATTATGATTTTGTGTACAAAATCAATCACAGCAAATTATAGCGAATAATTTCGTACATTTTCCGGTTCACTTGATTATCGTCTAATAAGAACTTTTAAGGTTGGCATTAATTACTGATGAACTCGAAGCAAGACTCGCAGTCATAATACGTGGCATTCAAGATTATGATTTTAGAGATGAAATAAACAAACTCTACAACCATTAAGAAATTGGTAAACAAAGTGCGCTTTATTCTTTACCTTTTTCCTTGACGATAAAGGAATCATCTGGGTCAGTGAACGATTAGAAGAAGTCTATCTTGTGACTTACAACATCCAATATGCTCCTTTCCTACAATGACACGCTAGTAAAACTTTTATCCAAGTTCGTGAAGGATGAGAACGAACATTGTAGCCGACAGGCGCTACGAGGAATCATAAGGCAAAGATTATGGCCAATAAAAGGATAAATTATTGCAAGAGCAACCGTGCTAAATTGCATACAACGCAACAAGGCTCGTCCCAAATTATATCAGCGATAACGGGAATTTCTCTTTCAACAAGAACTACACCTGCATGACCATTCATAAATGCAGGTATCAACTATTTTGAACCACTATGGATCCATCACCAAGTTAGAGAAAAGATGCCAAAAAACGGCAGCAGCAATAGCAATACTTTGTTGTTTCGCTACAAAGTCAGTTTACTTCGATCTTAAGCGATTTGTTAAAATATACACACTGGCAACGCAACAAACTTTGTGGGCGCTAGCAACAAATAATCCCAACTTATTAGCTCAACCTTGTCCGAGAAGGGAAAAGAATCAATAATGTCAACATGCAGTTTAAAGGGGATGCGACTCTTTTTCATTACATCTAGAACAGCTCATTTTGGGAAGTAGAGGTAAAATCAGCGTTACTCATTAATCGAAACTATTCATTGCAACAACTTTGCAAGAAAATGCAACCAGTCGTAGTTTGTTTTAACTTGATAGAACACTTTACAACACAAATAATCATCAGTCTAGCCGTTATCATCATTGTTCTTAGCACCACGTTTCTATTCAAGAAATCTGCTTAAGATATGATCTACCCACGCGGAGCGACCAACCATCTATAAAGCAAAGGAAGTTAACATAATATTGTCAATTTATAAACTCTAGAGGGATTCAAAAAAATTGCATTATTCCGGAATTCGGCATAGTCGCATTTTCGTCTTTTATGACATTATTATAGTTAACGCTTTGTTTGTGTGATTTGCGACTCCTAAATAAATCCATGTGTCTTTGCAAACGTGTATATAACTTATCTAACTGCTTTTGTTGTTTAATTGAAGTGCCATCTCTTTTCAAATCATTTGATCGATCAATCAATTTGATCATCAATAGACCTACAGATGTAAATAAATTGAATGGGCGTTTGGATGAGAATGTTGCCAATAATTTACGGCCAACTGTCGCTTGATTTAATTTCAAAACTTTTTCCTCATTCGTGCTGATTAGTTTAATAGTAGAGACATTGGTAGAAACGGCAATGGTATTCCACGATGTTGCTTCCACAAACTTAAAGAAAGCCAAATTTAAAGTATGCCTACGGGCGATTTCTTCGTTGTTTGCTAAGAATACGATCAGTGTTCGCATCGCAATTCAAGGTTGTGGTGATGTTTCGACTCCTCCTAAACTCCTCTTAAATCGATTTACTTTAATGCTTTACGTTTTTCGCGTGGCCCAATGTTTTTACCATGTTTCTGAATAAAGTGTGATATCTCTTGAGCGAAAAATGCAAAACTTAACAAGAAAACAAAAGCAAGTTTTAATTTAATTACCTTAATGTAAATTCGACCGATTTAAATTACAGTACATTGGAATATAAAGCAATTCAGCGACGTCCCTACTCGACGTCTTCATCATAAAGCTTTATAATTAAAATTTTTGTTTAAGCTGATTAAATAAAATTGTATATAAGCTCCTTGATTAAGAATCAAGGTTCGTTCTTCTTGTGGGCAAAGCTTTGAAATCTTGATTCTGAACTTAATCCTCCGAGAGCAATGCAAAGTTTTTCCTTCCATTTGTTTTACAGTTTAAGAAGTTTAAACTACTATTTACTACACCAACCGGATTTCATTGAAGAATACGTGGATTCTATAGGACCAAATTTTACTTCTCTTAATATAATTTTCTAAGCGAGCCGCCAATAGTATGGATCAAGTGATTACGTTCGTAATGCTACAAATGCAGATCTTAAATTGTCAAAAAAATGCTAAGCTCTGTAGTAAAAGCGGCATCAGCTAATTCCTAAAGTTAATGTATATGAATAAAAATTCATGACATAAAATATGTACGTAAGTTTTGATGTCTTGAAAGTTCAACATTTTTTGGAAAAACGCTAAGGTGTGTAATCTTAGCAAACGGGATATTTTGATTTAGCATGTATCCGTCAGCGCATAACTTCGTAGGTTCATCTTCTGTTTGAAAATCTTTAGCTCCGAAAAATCGATTTAGGCAGATAATATATTCAAATAGAAATAAATACCTTCAAAATTGTTAAAAAGTCATATCACTTAAATTTTCATAACACTTTTTAATTAAAAAACTTGTGGACTATAAATTCATGCACAACATAAAATTTTCCCATTTCGCGGGTAAAAAAGATTTGGTTGAAGATGATTACAAATTTCGTATTAATTTAAGCTATACCGTGCATACAAATAATTTCTAAATTTTGATAATCTTATAGGCCACACATATACGACTTAAATCATATACGAATTTGTTCGTGAACAATATACGTAATCTAAAATGTAGGAAAAGCTAGGGAAATAAATAAGATATTTGCGCTTACGTTGGCATTTCTTCGTCTGTGAACTTTCGTTCAAACAGATTGCTACATTAATGCAGTAATCTTTCTCGACTTTGGCTTTTGGAGTTTCTATATTCTCACTTCCTTGCTTATTTTTATTTTCGTATTCTACTTTTGCTTGTTTAAGGATCTGTGTTTTCACTCCCGTTATCGCGAATTTTTTCATTTTCTTCATGTCCGTATTTTTCTTCTTGGATATCTCCTGCGATTTTCCCTAAACTATTTTCGTTTTGCACATTGCTTATTTTGGTGTTCACTTTGGGTTTACTATTGCGGCGACTCCTTCGACTACGTCTCGTAGACCTGCGGGCAGTACGGCCTGGCGTCGGTTGCATTTCGCTTGCCAAAATTAAATAGCAATTTTTTTTTAAAATTGTTTCTTTAGTGCATTTGAGAGCACTGGAACGTGGCGTCTGTTGCATTTGTTTAACGGCATTTAAATGCTTAATATCCGCATCTTCATTTAAAATTAGCGATATTGAAAACCATTTGAGCACTGCGGCATGGCGCCTGTTGTATTTGAGTCTGTTTTTTCTCTTAAGTTTCTGGAAGGTTGCTTAGTTTTATATAAAACTGATTTTATTGATTTCATTTTTATATAAATTATATATGTGCTTACCTCCACTATTTCAAATATAATTTTCCCAAAATCTTCGACACAATTCTTTTGAAATCAAACATAAAATGATTTACACAATTTAAGTCCTTTTTGTAGAAGTGTGAATTATTAATCGTTCTTTTCTTCTTCTTAAATTGCCTAACCGTTTTTGTCAAATTGCCTGCTAAGCAGCGCTTAGGGTTGCCAATTTACTTATTGTTCTCTCAACAATGTGATTATTGAATAAAAAACATAAAAAGAAAATCAAATTAAGAATTAACTAGTGACAGCAGATATAAGCGATAAAAGATTTGGGGGGATACCACAATGATTCGTTCATAGTTTAGGAATGTAACTTCAACTTTGCTGTTTTTTAAGAAACTTTCTTGTAATTGGCAAATCGCATATTTATGAACGTGTATCGTGCATTCTCAATCGCGAATTTTATTTGTTGGCATGAAGTCGAGAAATCATTATGTTAATCTCCATAATCTGCTTTAATTCTATGGCAACCTCGAAAGTCTATTTTTGTATTAATTGCTCTATAACTTAAAAATTATCATCCAAAGACTACTTTTGTGGAGCAGCTATAATTTAACTCAACAATATAGAAATAATATATAGTGGTATATACTCAATTCAATCAAAAAATATATTGAATCAGTAAACCACGCACTTTTCACAGGAACATATCGTACAAATTTTTTCTCTATGCATTCATAACTTCTGATCTTTCATCATATCTGAATATACGAAATGCGGTCTTGGTTCATAAGCTGGTTTATATTTGTACTCCGAAATATCTATTTAAGAAAATCCGGTCTGTCAGATTCAGACATACGATGAATTTGATTCTTCCAGGCCATAAGTATTTAAGACCATAAAAACTATTTTTTATTAACGCTGTAAAGCTATGATATTCGCTACAGCCTAATATCAAGGCTGTCGTTACTGCGTATAGGGTGAAAGTAACAATCAGAAAATGTCCTACTCTTTAGTGGAATGAATAATTATGCAATTATCTCTAACTTCTTTTGCACTGAAGAATTGTTCGAGTTGTATCCTAGTACTCTACCTACTATTTTTTGTTAATTATTTGTGACCTTATATGAATGTATTTTAATTCTATTTAATGGTAATTAATAATTATTTTAGTTAATTTAATTGTAATTGTAAAAAAGTTGTATTGATTTGAAAAATTGCATTTATAGATAAAACCTTCGATTTTTTGAGTTTGATGATCTTGAGGTAAAGAAGAAATTGTAGTTGTTTTCAAACTGTAAATTAAACTATGTAGTGATTTAGCTAAGCAGCGTAGACGATAGTGGATAAAAAGACCCTATACAGCTGAACGATTATCGGTACTCCAGAAACAATAAATTAAGCACCGAGTCTCCATTGCACTGCAAACGTTCGATGAATTCAAAATATTCGTCGTAGTCGATGTAAAAGAAGCTAAGAAAATCTTAGCTAATTCAACATATACTTATCATTAACATATGGAAGCTGTCATGCAAGAAAATTTGTTGATTACAACACATTACTGGTAAAATAATAGAATGCGCTGTCGAATTTTATTCGGTGTGAATGTTTATCCAATTTTCGCAAAGTAATTAAATGTAAAATAAACTACTTTTTGCTATCGAAGCAGCAGTAAACAAATCAAAGAAAAACTGATTTCACTAAAGAAAGGAAAAACAAAAAAGGAAAGAACGCAATGTCTTTGTATTCCTGGCATTAGTCAAGGTGTTAGTGTAATAATATAATAAAATAAATAAAAACTTAGATAGAGATAATTGCATTAGTCGATTCGCCAACATATTAGGTAGAAATTTATGTGCAATGGGTTCGGACACTGAGCGTTTATTTAATTCATCGCTTGAGAATGAGTAATAACAAATAATGATGTCATCTCAGTAGCCACAAATAACGATGACGCACTTTCCTTGCCTGAACCTTCAACCAGTATAGTTTTTTTAGCCTTCAATTTGCCAGGTAAATATCATTAAGATGTTCATCATCATTTAGAATCTACTTACAGTATTGTTTTCATTCAAGGAATTACATTTTGAAATATGTTATATCAAACTTGAATCTACGTCTGCAAATACAATATCAGCAAGTGTCAGCAACAATCTCCTGAAGTACAAGTAAGTAAATCTGAAGGAAAACAACAAATGTTGTCCATGAGATCTGTACTTATATTTATATATAGGTACGTGCGAGTTTTCCCTCACCTAAGAGTTTTTTTTGAAAGGCAATTTCAAAGATAAAATATTCATAATTTACTCATACTATGAAGAATGAATGAAGAATGAAGAATATAGAAAACGCTTTCGGCATTCTACTCATCTTTTCAATAGGTCGGTTTCTTTACATACATAATAAAAGCAAAACGAAATGATTTCTTAGTAAATGCTTAGTGGAGAATCTTAAATAATAAATTAAACACCAGATTTTTAGGAAATAAGAATAATAATTATTATTATTATTATGCTAGAATAATCCTTTTCCTTTAAAGTTGTAATATTGGGTTCTTTCTTTTTTGTTACCGAAAAATTTTGGTTTGTTAATGATTATTATTAGAACATAGAAAGAAAACTTAGGGCGTACAGATATTAGTTTTCTCATTCCTTATCACTCATTTTTTGTTATGTTTACGGACACATTTGCACAAAATTTAGTAAACCATGGTATTTTCATTGTATTACGTTAAACTTTGAAACCATAACATTTCTGTGTAAAAATTGTTGATAGCACGCACTTTGATCATGACCTGGAGGTGATTAACGACAATATGAATAATGAAGAAAAAAGAACAAAAAAGTAAGTTCACTTTATTTTACTTTAATGTTAGTGTCCTACTGGACGTAACAAAGCTGACACTTTGAGTATGGGCACTGAAGCTTTGAAAGACTTTTTCTTTTAAAAACCTCTTTCACTTTTTATTCTTAATATTTTCCATTTTTTGTTTTGTTTTTTCTGTTGTTTTAAAAAAATGAAGTCTGGTACCTAAATAATATGTTTCATGTAGAAGTAAATAAAGCTTTTGCACACTATGAAACGTCATATAAATATTCAATTCAATCTAATTTTTTAAACAATGTTGTTGTGATGCCGTCGATAGAATGCTTTGACCACATTTGTACAAATATGGACAAATATTTGTTACAATAACAATTTTGAAATGTGCACTTTTCGAAGTGTGGAGAAATTTACGTGTAATTATTATTTACGTGCATGTATATATTATTTACTAAAATGCCAGCATCAATCCAAAAAATTTATGTAAACAACAATATAAAATACACAATAACACATTATAACACATGAATAATAATAATTCGATGCCGCCAATAGAATTCGAATTCTTATAATGATAAAAAATTAACAATACAGACTCACGTGACTAGAAAGCCGATGGAAATTTAACGCAGATAAAAAATGTCACTTGTTATTCTCCAATTTTTGTTACAAAGTTGAAGAATATCTTTCAATTTTTATTCTTATTATATTTTCTTAGTTTTTTTACTTTTGTTTTATATAAATTCTCTTTTTTTCAATTTTCGGGTTTCATTATTTACTTCGCAAATAAGTTTACTTGCACTCATTAACTCGTAAGAAATTTCTTTGAATTAAAGAGCAAGTAAAAGAAAAATTAAACAATTCATAAAAAAGAAGAAAAAAGTAGTCCTATTTGTAGATATCATATGTTATATTCTGTTAATCCTGCCGCTTGTTCTTAACTCAGAAGTAATGGAAATATGAAAAAAGAAAATCGTGATATGTAGAAAAGCAAGAAGACTATTTTACAAAACAACTGGAATCAAATTCAGACCGCATCGATGAAACCGAACTTGGTGGTGATTACTTACTTCGCCGTAGAAACACTCCTCAAGCATTGTTGACGTACAAAGCGACACGCATTAAATCCATACGGGCAGCTTTAAAATTGGCCACGTTCGGCGATACGACTGCTCTTATGCATCGCGATGTGGCTTTGAATCGATCTGCCGTTTATTTAGTAATTAATATAGTTTTACAATAATATGTGCTTAGGATTTTATTTCACTTAAGTTGTTGCACAAGCCCTCCACTTGAATAGTTATTTCATATCATTATTATATCCTACATCGCTTGTGGTATAAGTGTATATTAAGTATGTGCGGTGAACGCTATTGAAAATGGTTCGGACCGGACGGCTTTTTCGAACATTCTCCAGTCTTAATTCTACCAATCTATATAGAAACTTCTTTTTCTGTTCAATTTGTCGAATGTTTGATAATCCTCCTTTAAGAAAAGAATCAAAGAAAAGTCGCTTTACTTTACTCTTTCATAGATAATATAAAGCACACAAAAATTCGTGAAAACGTCGCTCACTTCAATCGTGTTTGAAAAGTTTGGATCTAATTTAAATCTAGTTATGTATAAAGATGGTCGTCAAAAATTGGACAAAAATAATTGATTCTCAGTTTATTGTTTTCCAAACTAGTTTTCCTGTTTTAATGTTGGAATAAAGGGCTAATGTCTTTATCTGAACGCACTTGACGCTCATCGCGCTCACATTTTTGCACATATCTAATAGCTCGATAAATTTTAAAGGTATCAAAGCTTAGTTTAATGAACATTTGGTCTTCTCGTAACAAGTCCTACATCATGACCCGCTGAGTAATAATATGTTCTTATTCGTACTCTACATCGCTTGTGATAGAAGAGCATATTAAGTTTGTGTGGATGCATACAACACCCAGAAGAACATGAGATGGACCTATCTTTGATTATACCAGTCGATTCAAAGTGCATTCTGATGTTCATCCTACAGAACGGAATTTGTGATATATATTGATTACAAATACGATTTGATATGGTGAAGTGTTTTCGCCCAAGGAAGAATGATTCGCACCGGACCAGTCTCGCTACCATTTCCCATATAACGTGTTATTTTGAAAAGTCGTTGTATGAATATCTTTAGGGCGGCGTAAGGTATTTAATAATGTGCCGTGGCCCACTATAATGTTTCCAGTTGAGGGTTTTTTTGTTTTGAATGAGTATATTATACGTTAGAAGCTGCATAAGCTTGGTTAGCATCTATATAATTCCAATTCGATTTATCGTGCCTCTTCGTCTGACTTCACTTCAATTGTTCAAGATTTCGACTTTGCCATATGTATCCTGATGGCCGCAAATGTTA